AACCAATTTGTCTGCCTAATTATGGTGAACATTTCCCAGCAGGGAAAATGTGTTGGGTATCAGGATGGGGAGCAACTGTGGAAGGAGGTATTTTAAATGGTCTGCTGCTGATTACACTACATATAAACATCTCACCCACAGTAAATAGAGGACTTGGTTGGGGCATTGTTCAATGTTTAATTTTCTGGAATATCAGTAGGGTGGGAAGGGGGCGAAAGAATACATATTCCTAAATTTTATGGTCATCCTGAACTGCAAAAATTCTGTAGAAACACATCACAGGGAATGGATGAGCACATCCTCTGAAACAGAGAGGCTGAGCTCTTTATAACTTCAAGCACAGAAAACACAGCAAGAATGTAAGAATTGACCATCCCTGCATTTTCAGGCAGGTTGGGTGATGCAGAAATTGGATCTGTGAATAATGTGAGAAAGAAAAGGGATTTTTTTTTTTTTTCTTACCATGACTCACAGGTCATGTTAATCAATAATTTACACTGGATCACTTTCATGTGAAAATACGTGAATTCTCAGGTAATTGTTCTTTATCATTCCTCATTTGTGTCATTTAACTTGTTCCCTTGTTCAGAGAACAAGAACAGAATGTTACCTGATCTACAGATAACAGTGAAAGGTGGGGAGAAAATGAAAACAAGGTTTGCCACATAAAAAGTCAGCTCTGATCTGACAATAGGCAGTGTGCAAATACTTCCATTTATAGCAATGATCAGTTCAGGCTCAGAATAAAATAAAATAAAGTACATATTTATAAAAGAAACCAGATGTTTGCAGATGATTCGTTGACTAACAGAACAGGTGATAACTGAAATTAATTTTGGCACTAGTATTGCAGGCAATGTTCAACTAGTTTTTTTAGTTCATTACTGTCATTGATTGTCTAGTTTGAAGTGGAAATATATAATGAACAGATTTTATTATACACTGTGATAGTCCACAGCTCTGTAGAGTGGATAGTTACTGTATTCTATAAGTGATGAGACACGACGTTGCCTTACTTGTGTGTTGTCATTTTAACTGTATTTCTTTGACCCTTGCTTGTCAATTCTTTGTATACTAAAACACATTCTGTTTACAAATGGTGATTATTTTCAAGGGCAGAAAGTTTTTTTTTTTCTTCTTTTTTTTTTAACAGGTGATACATCTGACACCATGAATTATGCAGGTGTTCCTCTGATTTCTAATGCAATTTGCAACCACAGGGATGTCTACGGTGGGATCATAACTTCTTCAATGCTCTGTGCTGGTTTCCTAAAGGGAGGAGTGGACACCTGCCAGGTATGGAAGTTTCCAAACTGCAACTGTGCTCATTAACACCAGCAATGGAAAAACATGAATGATAAGCTATCAGAAGGCACTCCCAGGCTTTTCTTGGGCAAACATTTGGGTTTGTGCCATTTATTCTGCTCACTGCGATTATCAGTCACTGACTGTGCCTGCATTCATATGCTACAATTTCCTTTTTATGTTTCTTCAGTGGACTTTATCTGCTACTTCTGAAGAAAAATTTACTTAAGGCATATTTTGATTAGTTGCATGTGCTGCAGCATGGTGCCATCCTTTCTTTGCCTTGGCTGTGGCCTCTGCACTGTGCTGAGTTGCACTTCCCTGCGCTGTGAGCAGGTCCAGAGACCTGCCAGGTGTGGAAAGCCCGTGGGGAAGAGCAGCCAACACGTGTCTCAACATAGAAGCAGAAGTATGTGATTTTGAAAAGAGTAGCAAGGCAGGGGAAGGAAGAAAGGGAGAGGTGTAACTCAGAGGGGTAGTGATGGCTCTGGGGGAGGGAGGTTCATAGCAGTGGTGAAGCAGAGCATCCTTCACAACACAGGGTGATGATGATTCCAAATCACTGTCAAAGTCATGATGGTGCCAACCTTGTGCCGGGTCTCATCCACATGCAAACTGGTGTGGACTCGCCTAACTAGTCATGGAGCGAGGGCTGGGGAGGAGTTTCTGTTAGAAGGTGTCCCTGCCCATAGCAAGGGGGTTAAAACTAGATTATCTTCAATGTCCTTTCCAACCCAAACCATTCTGTGATTCTGTGAACTTCATGTTTTCCGATTTGCTCGGTCTCCGTCATGCAAGGGACAAAAGGTGCAAAGGCCATGGGTGCATAGATCTTCCTTCAACCTTGTGTTTGCACATAACCCTCCCAACAAGGTAGCTGGCACCAGCACATTGCTCTGCCTGGGACTGCTGCCCAAAGGCAGCGTGCTCAGCACACAGCTCCATGTGACGCAGGGAGCCCGACTCACCACTGGGAGAGGCTTGTTACAAATTCCCTTTTTTTCTGTTGTTGTGCTGGCTCTGATGCTCAGAGCAGAGAAAACAAAAAAAGAGAGTTTTCAGTACTTAGGTGTGAGTCCATTGAGTAATATCTGCTTAGCAAAGTGCCTGGGAAGGGCCGGAAAAGAATGCGTGAGCAGGCAGGGAAGGAGATGAGATGTGAGCTTGTTGTTGCAACCGTGGGCTCAACTCAGCTCAATAGCCATGAGCCAGGGAAAGAAAAATATGATCTAATATATGTCTCAAAAGTCTTCAACTTCTGCTGTAACATATGCTTTTTGCAGGACCCAGAATAGGGCAGAAACAAGAAACTTTGAATTACTTTGAATTAGTCTCTCCCCTACCTGTCCAAATAGATATTCCCCTCATTTTCTAGGGTACTGACATTTGTTTTAATTCTTCATCCTCCAGGGAGACAGTGGGGGTCCTTTAGCATGTGAAGATATGAGTATCTGGAAGTTGGTGGGGACCACCAGTTTCGGAGTGGGTTGTGCAGAAAAGAACAAGCCGGGTGTCTACAGCCGAACCACTTCCTTCCTGGACTGGATACACGAACAGATGGAGGTCTGGTTTTGCCCTGTTCCTCCATCTCTGGTTGTTGCTTTGCTTCTCTTGTACTGCACAGGGCTTAGCTCATATTTGTCACAGATGAGTTGTGTTGCATGGACACGTGTGACTCGAGGGTGCGTTCAGGGATCGGGGCAGGTCCTCAGGCAGAGCAGGGTGCAGGGGTTTTAGTGAGATGCTGGGAGCACCCTGCAGGGGTACAGAGGAGAGGAGAGTATGTCAATATGCGTGGGAATGACTGGGGAGGGGTCCTGGAGACAGAGTAGGGAGGTGTGAAAGGACTGAGTCAGGACGCCAAGGGAGGAGGTGACAGGGGACTATACTGTGCTCAGTTCTGGTGCCCCCAACATAAGATGGACATGGAACTATTGGATGAAGTCCAGAGAAGGGCTACAAAGTCTGTAAGAGGACTGGAGCACCTCCCATATGAAGACAGGCTGAGAAAGTTGTGGCTCTTCAGCCTGGAGAAGAGAAGGTTGTATGGAGACCTCAGAGCAACCTTCCGGTATCTGAAGAGGATACAAAGAAGCTGGAGAGGGACTGTTCATCAGGAACTGTAGTGACTGGCCAAGGAGTAATGGGTTCAAATGGAGAAAGGGAAGATATGCTATGGTATTAGGGAAGATATGCTTTACTTGTGAGAGTGGTGAGGGCCTGGCACAGGTTGTCCAGAGCAGCTGTGGCTGCCCCATCCCTGGAAGTGTTCAAGGCCAGCTTGGATAAGGCCTTCAGCAACCTGGTCTAGTGGAAGGTGCCCCTGCCCCATGGCAGGAGGGTTGGGACTAGGTATTGTTTAAGGTCCCTTCCAAACTTTAGCATTCTGTGATTCTATGGCTTTATTTGAAACTGCGAGGCTGCTACAGAAAATCCTGGGGAGTGAAAGCCAAGTGGGCCAAAGAAATTGCAGTGAGAACATGGTGTTGGCTGGAAGGAGAGGAGGGCAGAGGCAAGGAAGCTGGGGGACACTGCAGCCACCTTCACCTGACCCAAGGGTGGCCCACTGTCTGGAGACCAGGTTTGCTGCAGTCAGTACTTCTCCAGTGCTGCCAGAGGGATGCTGGGTTCAATCAGCTGAGCAGAGAGAGCAGTTGTGCTTCAAGTGGGACTCCCAGGCAGGGTTCCATTGCCTCAGCAGGGACATCCAGAGCCATTTTAGAGACCCCAGGCTGTCCTACCTGGCTCACAGGTGTTCCTGCAGAAGGACAAGGATCCACAGCTAGCCCTGGGTTATGTTCACTATCCCTGTGGGGGTGGCTCAGATATCCTATAACGGCCCAGGTAGATATGGGACATCTGAGGCCTTCCAGACTAACTGCTGGAGGTCAGGCAAAGTGCACTAAGGCACCTCAAGTGGCACTAAAAGGTGAAGTGAACCATCCTCCACTGCCCTGGTAGGAACCTGGGCATGTAGCTCCCAAGTAGACACCTATGCACAGACTCTTAATGTGGGGTTTTTTTAACTTTGTGGTAAAGCCACCCTAAGCACCAAAGGGTGCATCCCATCCTGCCCTGTCTCATAGACAATGCTGCCAGTGCTGCTATGCCAGCACCCAGCTTGCTGGAATGAGGGAATGAATGAATAGCAATGATGCTACTCCAGCACCAGCAATACAGGCACGTGATGAATCCACTCCTGTCCCCATCTCATTTGTGAAATATGTGAGATTTTCTCCTCAAACCAAAATGCCAATATCAAACATTCACTGACAAGGAAATGCCCAAAATAAGGTTATGTGTGCAATTTCAGCCCAGCCCACGTCTGTACACTGTATGACACACACTGTTTTCACAACTTATATTGCACATGAAGATTTAGGCTTTCTCAAGCCTATCTGTCACTCAACAAAGTTAAAGAAGACAGGATAACATTTCTAAATCTGTAAGACCTCTAATATTACTTGATTTCCTCCCCCTCAAATGTATACATCATTTTGATTCATTTGCATGTACAAACACCCAAACATTTCAGATGAAGAGCGCATATCCAATGAAAGCACAGATCTCTCTTATAAAGTGATCAAGGGCTTCAAAGTGGAAGAGATCAGGGTTGGATTAGATACTAGGAAGAATTCTTCCCTGTGAGGGTGGTGAGGCACTGGCACAGGTTGCCCAAAAAAGCTGTGGATGGTCCATCCCTGGAAGTGTCCAAGGCCAGGTTGGATGGGGCTTGGAGCAACCTGGGCTAGTGGAAGGTGTTCCTGCCCATGGCAGGGGATTAGAACAAGATAATCTTTGAATCTTTTTGAAACTAGATGATCTTTAGTGTCACCTTCAACCTAAACTGTTCTATGATTCTATGATAAATGCTCCCGATCTGCTCTCACCTGCTATTGCTCACCACGGACTGGGCTCACTTGGTCTCTCCAGAAGTTTCTGTGCTTTATTCAAAGAAAATTAACTCCTGTAGCAAAGGCTTAGGAAAGGAGTTAGGAAAGTGATCCATTTAGATCTAAGAGATGCAAAATTGCAAGATGAGGAATTTGGCCATCAGCATGCCCTTAAAAACTCTTCTTCTGGAAATTATAACAGCTCACCTGTTAGGGCTAATCATCTAATGCAAGGTATGATCAAAAAGAAGGCAGTGGTGCTTTCTGATCTTCAACTTCCAGTATTGGAAACTGAATAAAGCACTTCTGTCTCTCAGCTTTTTGGGAGAATTTTGCTAAAGGCTCTCTCCTGAGAATGCAAAGAAACAGGGTTTTTTTAATTGTTTTCCACTAAGTGATGAAAATAATTTATGTCCTTTAGCAAGATGTTAATCCAACATTGTGAAGAGAATTTCTGCCGCCTTCTTTTTGAACAGCTCTCCCATTAGGGAAGAAGCAAAAAGTTTATAGCACTTAGGGGCGTGCCAGTGACCTACACACATTACTGTCTGAGGAATACTATGCTTCTACTATTAAATCTGAATAGACTTGAAAGGTTTCCCCCCAGCCAAAAAAAAAAAAGAAAAAAAAAAAGGAAAATCAGGAGTAGAACAACTGAGAGGAAACAAAATAAACCCCTTCAAAGCCTACTTAGCTCCCTGTATGAGTTTCTCATGCATGCAGTATCTACCACTCTTACTAATATATTCCTCCACCCCCCACAACCATATTTCTTTATGAACCTTATGTTCCTGTCTCAGGTCATGTAAGGCTGAGTACCAGTGAACTCCAGTGGTGACAGGAGCTGATGGTATTTGCTCAAATTCGCAGGGCCCACAATGGAAACACCTCTTTTGTCAATGTGGTATGTTTTTCCTGTAGGATTTCCTTCCAGTTCCTGAAGGGAGCCTACAAGAAGGATGGAGAGAGACTTTTTTACAAAGACATGTAGCAATGGGATAGGAGGAAATGGCTTCAAACTGAATGGGAGTAGGTTTTGATTAGCTAGTAGGGAGAAATTCTTCCCTTTGAGGGTGATGAGGCTCTGAACAGGTTGCTCAGAGAAGCTGTGGCTGCCCCATCCCTGGAAGTGTTCAAGGCCAGGTTGGATGGGGCTCTGAGCAAGTCTGGGATAGTGGAAGGTTCCCTGCCTATGGCAGGGGTTGGAACTAGATGATATTTAAAGCCACTTCCAACTCAAACCATTCTGTGATTCTATGATTCAGCTGGCAGGACTGGCTCCAGCAGCCTCATGGTTCCTTTGGAGGCCTTTGTACAACAGGAAAACCCCTTCAGAGTACAATGGGCAGAAACATGAGCATTTGCAACAGATGCATAACTGGTTTTTCTTCCCAGAGAGAAGAACTGCAGACCTGAGGAGAGTGACGATGTTCAGGGCTCCTGAAAACCCACATCATGCTCCAGCCCCATGGATGGACCCACCTCACTCCTCTGGTCACCTGCTCTGAGCTTCGGACCTTCACAGACTGCTTTTTACCATTTATTTTTGGTACTGGCAACTGTACTTGATGCAGGCTGTTGCACACTCAGCCTCTTCTGGATGGAAGAAGCAGCTGGATGATGGATGGCAAGTGTGTGTGTTTACTGTCAGCTACAAATTTCACATGTAGAAAAAAAACCAAGGCTGATAACCCAGGATGCTGTCACGATAAAGTTTTGCAGGCACCATGAGCAATGGACTAGACCAACTTCAGATCAGGTTGCAAGATATTATTTTAGTACTTACTTTCCAAGATCTGAACCACAAAAAGATTTTTTTCCTGACAGTTTTCATATATAAGGTCCATGCTCTGTTGCACAGGCAGCAGCAGCTTTCTTGGAAGCCAGGAAACAAGCAGGAAGCAGGCAGTTGGTAATTTTGGCAGGTATGTTCAACTCCTGTTAGAAAAAAAATCTCAGAATTCAAATATTTTATCACGTGGCTGTGAACAATGTCCCTAAAAATTGAATCTTATGTGCTTTCCTGTGGTAAAGAGCACTGAAATGACCAGCACACAGGTTGTAACTTTACTGAAAAAATTCTGAGCTTACTGAACAGTCTTAAAGGGAAGAGTAGCTTCTTTATGGCCTTTTAATAGGCTGGAGAGCCAAAATCATCCCTCTGACTATGGTGCACCACGTAGTGGAATAGCCACTGAACATTCCCAAGCTAAGCATCACATAGTACCATCACCAAGGCTCTCACATTCAGTCACCTTCCCTGCTTTCCCTCCCTTTCTCTGCTGATGTGACAATATAGATCCCTCAGTCCTTGTATCTATTGGTGACATCGGTGTGTGGATGGACTGATGGCAGCCAGGCAAGGGATAAAACATCTGAAGTGCTGCTGGGGTTTCCTGATCTCGGTTTTAATATAACAGTCTCATGTTATTAGGCTGGGAAATCTCTGGTTGTTCTGTGCTTGCCCTTTGTGAAAATCCTGAGATGAAAGTTGTTAATTTTAGAATTGATCGGCGGGGCTGAGGTAGGATGAATAATTGATAATATTGTCAGAGCTTTTCAATATCAGCCAAAGTTGATCTTATCATCTGATCAAGTGCTGATGATCTGCTTGAAATGTGGTTTTGGATGTACTCTGTATGCTTCTAAATCATCACTGCTGCAAGAAAGCACCAGCAGAATCAGAACTTCATTCTTGCTGCAACATGTTGGGTCAGAATTGAGAAAGAACAGCAAACCCACATGGACTGTCAACCTCCACGTTGTTCTGTGGATACAAACTCTGACATCACAGGACACTGCATCAAAAGTTTTCACCCTGGCTAAAGAAACTGCAGTGCAGTGGAAACAGCACTTCCCAAACCGGTATGTTGTTAAAAAGGAGAGGGAAGCATTGCTGCAAAACTGACACAGAAACTGGAATTGATTTCAACTTGACAGAACCATGGCAGAATTAAAACAAAAGAGTTTTAATGTTCACTGCTTGTTATCACGACATTTTCACATCCCAACATGGCTCATGTCTTAACATTATCAGCAGTCTGGAGATGAGGGCTCTGCTCTCAGAGCTGACAGGGTTGTTATTTTATATTTCTGAAAGGACCCTTGAAAATTCCTTTTGAACTCATCTATTTCCATAAAAAGACTGTATGATAAGCATCCATTGTGGTCTGCTTTTTTTTTTATTAAAGAGAAATCCAATGTAAAATGTAGAAAGCTACTGAACTCTTCCCAACAAGAAGTTGCACTGACCCTTAGACCAGTGACAGTCAGTTATGCATAAACCCAGCCCAGTGAGCCTGTGAATCATCCCTCTGATTTCTGTTAGACCCCTTGCTGTGATGTCTTAATTATGCATAGGCATGATTTAAAATCATAGAGTGGTTTGGGTTGGAAGGGACCTTAAATATCATCTCGCTCCAACCCCCTTATCATATAAGAGAGTTACTCTGTAAAGCTGGATTTTCCTCCCTCACCTTATGTCATTAGCATGCATGCCAAAGGTTTTGAAATAAATATAATCACAATATTAGTATTTGTGTTAAGCCAGGTGAAGGTACACAGAGGTTTAGGACATTTGCTGTGGGAAGGGTTTTGTAGCAGAGATGGTCATTGTGTTAATTCTGAGAGAGGTGAGACTGATGAACTGGTCTCTACTAGTCATCAATATTACAGCTGGCATGAACTGGTACACAGAAAAGTAACTTTTCAAGGAGGTTTTATGGCAGGTTACCAAGCCTTTCTTTTTCCTTGGAATTTCTTCTCTTCATTCAATGAAAATAACTTGCTACACTTCATGTGCTTGTAGAGAGGCCTGCCAAGCCAGTTGGGGCTAAAGGCAGCTCTGGTTTAATTAACGCTGATTAGGAGTCTCATGGTAAACACCTTGGAAGTGTTTAAGGTCTTTATACTGGGGGGAGTATTATATTTGCCACATTATTAAAGAGGCTGACTAAACAGCTTCCGGCTTATGAACTCAGACCACTGGTTTGAAATGGTTGCTTTAACACAGGATTGTGTTACAGCCATGGTATCCCTTGGAAATACAACCTGCTTGTAGGCACAGCATCGCATCACCACGTAACAGACCCTCAGGAACCTAATCCAACGTACAGCTTTGCAAGAAATGTCCAGCACGTGAAGAAAAATTCCTTTGCCATTCATCATTTGTTCCTGTCATTGTGACAGTTAAGTTTGGAAGCTGAGACAAAACTGGTAAATTTGGGTGAACCAGATGTGACTTTTATTCAATATGCAGTTTTCCCAGACACTCTGAAACACTTCAAGTGGATAAACTCCACTTTGGCCAGTCTGATAGTCAGGGTTTTTTCCACTTGAGATGTACAAATAAACAAGAAATTTCTGTAAAGAGGCAGAGATAAGCATGAAACAAGTGCCTAATATTGGTGTCTGAGGATGTCAAAGTCCCTTCTGATGGGTAACATGCTATTAACATGCTTTTGACACGCTGACACATTCTCCACCCGGTCCAGCACTGCACAGAGGTGGGGATGCTGCACAGCTCTGCTTGTAGGCCAAGATTCAGGTAGATCTGTAAATGCAAATTCAAGAACTGGACATTTAGCTTAAAAAAACAGATCTGGCTCATTTTTTTTTTTTTTTGAGTGTCTTCAATATCCAGACAAAGCAGGTTGCAAACTAAGAGCTGCACTGTGCATCCTGCTGGTTTTGCTGACAAAACTAGTTTGATCCCTGAAAGGTACACGCTCTCCAGAAATCTCTGTGAGTGTAGCACTGTTTTAAGATCTGCAGATCAAATTTATTTACCTCAACAAATAGCCCAGTATCACACTTGTGGGCAGCAAGGGCCCGAGATTGCATAAAGCACAGTGAGAAAGGAGCTTGCTTGGTCTGTTTGACTTTAGGGAGGGTACAAGGAAGTGTTTTTTATCCGAACCCAAAGAGCACACTTGATCATTGCCTTTAATCTCTCTTTTTATGTATTTTTCATGAGCAGAGGCTTCCGAGTTTGTTTTGTTGCTTTTGTCACATGTTTTCTTGCTGGCAGAGCTCCAACCCCGGTAGAGGAGAGCAGGTTGTGGCCCCAGCATCGACATGGGTTAGATGGGTAAGTTTTTGAACAGTTTGCATCAAGATTTGGCAGAGGAGAGGTAAAAATGCAGTATTTTGGGATGCCAAAAAACGACCAAGCCAATTTTTCCTGATTAAAGGAAAACTGACTCCATCACTAATTCATTTTCCTGAAGAGAGCTTTGGTAGCTGATAATCTGAGCAATATAATTGTAAAATGCTATGGGCAGGAGCAAAAAAAAAAAATAGTGATTCCCCCATCTTTTAATGCTGGAGTGTTTTTACTCAAGGCAAATGCAGGCACAGGGCTGGCAGCTGAACAAGGAGCGTGGCCTTGCCTGAGGCACACACATCAGAGCTCTGCTCTGAGGCTGCCAGCCATAAATATGGTCCCCCACAAGCTTTCAGGTGAGAGAGGGAGGGCCATGACAGGGTGAAAAATGAGAAGGGAAGAGAAAAGGACAAGGGTGTCTTGAAGCACCACAGAGTGAAGCACTTAGAGGAAACAATTTGCACATAAAAATAAAATCACCAGTAAATCATAATTCCTTCCTATGGGGGAATCATAATTCCTTCCCACTTTTTGAAGTGTGTTTTGCACAGAGGGTCAAGCGTCAGGGAGTTTTAGATCCATTTCATGCAACTCCATGTGTTATTCTTAGGGCATCCTTACTCTCAGCAGCATTACGTCTATCAGAAAAAAGTCTGAAATGCTTATGAAAATATTAAGCCCACAGCAGATGGCAGCAGACAGCAAAATTTTGCCTACATCCTCTGTTGAAAAATAAATAAATAAACACTGAACAGTTCGTGCCTCGGCCACCAGAGGTGGATAATGTGAACACAGTTACAGTCCCCATCACACTCTTGGCTGTTTGAGTAGAGGTTACCGAGAAGATGCAACTTCCCCAGCACAGGAGGGGACTCCCAGGCACACGGGAGTGTGGTCAGAGCTTCCACAAACCTTCACAGATCTCCTCTGGTGGGTGCTGGGCCCGGGTCCCCAAACTGTGTGACTGCCTTGTGCTAGTGCTGCTGGCTCCTCACGTTATGGGACGCCCTGGAAATCACAGCCTAGGCCTTTCTCATGCTTTGATATAATTAAAAGTGATGTATTTGTTATTTTTAAAACACTGAAAATTTACAGTGGGCTTGCCATAAGATGTTACTGCAGAGTTGGTTTTGATCCAGAGAGATCTGTTGAGCAG